AGGACAGGGGACAGAGGGCAGGGGACAGAGGGCAGGGGACAGAGGACAGGGGGCAGGGGACAAGGACAGGGGGCAGGGGACAGAGGGCAGAGGACAGAGAACGTCTTCATGTCTTCTAACTCAGTCTTGTCCTCCGTCCTGCAGCGATCTGTCGGAGTTCTTGTGGGGACGGGTTCTGCTCCAGACCCAACATGTGCACCTGCCCCAACGGACTGATCTCTCCATCCTGTGGATCCAAGTCAGGTGATTAAGCTCCGCCTCTCTGAGGTGCAGCGGGCTCAGGGGTCAGAGGTCAGCTGCTCCTGGTCCACACCTCAGTCTGGTTTAGTCTGCAGCCCTGTCTCAACATGGACCAGATGAAGAGTTCAGTCTGACAGAGCTGCAGCTAACGTTTGTTTTAATAATCGATTAATCTTTCGATTATTCTGACCATTAATCCAGTAATCAAATATAAAAAACTTGTCATGTTCTGCAGTAATTATTTAAGCTCATTTTATTAGAAATACACTTATTTAATATTGTGAAGGGGTAATATACACCCTGCTGCATTCAAAGTAAAATTATAATAAAAGTTGTATTAATTAATGCATTTTAAACTCCATTTGTTTGTATTTATATATGTGAGGTTTGAGGAGGCATTAATTAAAAACACTGAATCATTTTAACATCACTGAAAAATCTAAACGCTTAAATTTATTGTTATAGACTGGAAAACTGATTTTTTTTAGTTATAAATTTAATAAGTAAAATGTGTAATATAAACATTTGGGTGTTGCACATTGAGTTTTGTAGAGTTCACTTGTTAATTGTAACAAAAAATTCATATTTTTTTAAGACAGTTATGAGGTTGATGCAGAGTTCCCCTTTAAAGATTTAGTCTTGACTGCTCAGCTACAAACAATATGACCGTATAATGAAGGATAAAATCATAAAAAGCAGCAGCAGATAATATAAGAAATCCAACTATCTTCTATAAATTATTTTAAACTTGAAATATTTACTCCAAATATCTCATTTAAACAAAGATAAAATCATATGAACAAACATGTTTCAGCTCAAGCTGTCGATCTGTTGTTGTGTTTTTATTTTTATCTGACAAACTTACAGGAAGTCTTGTTTTTAATCACACAACTCACTCAGTGTTTAATAAAACCTGCCAGGTCACCATGATTAGTCAGCAGAAGTAACGTTAGTTTAAACACACCTCCTCCTGTACATTTCCTGTGTGGTCCACGCGGCCCTGACCCTCCTGGAGCTGAAGGATCCTCAGGTCTGAATGCTCTTCATGGACTTCACTTCTGAGTCCAGCACCATGGTTCCTCAGACCCTGGGAAATAAACTCTCCTCGTTTGGACTGAGCTCTTCTCTCTGCAACTGGGTCCTGGACCTCCTGACCAACAGGCCYCAGTCTGTGAGGATCCACAACATAACCCTCAGCAGTGGTTGTCCTCAGGGCTGTGTGCTGAGCCCCCTCCTGTTCCCGCTGCCCACACATGGCTGCTCAGCCGTCCATCCAGGCTGTCATATTGTGAAGTGTGCAGGTGACACAGCAGGGGTTGGAGACGAGTCCAGCTGCAGGCAGGAGGTGGAACACCTGAAGGGTCGGTGCAAAGAGAACAACCTCTGCATCGACGTTAAAAAGATGAAGGAGATGATTGTGGASTTCAGAAGGGGTCAGCAGGCCCACCTCCACCTCCACCTGCACATTGGAGGATCTGRGGTGGAAGTGGTGAACAGGTGAGTGCACCACCAACACTTCCACCCTGGTCAGGAAGAAACATCAGCAGCTCTGCTRCCTCAGGAGMCTGAGACGAGCTGGACTCTGGACTCTGTCCTACAGATGTGTGCCGGAGAGCGTTGTGTGCTCCAGCATCAACGTTTTCTACAATCTGCTGCTGCTCCAAACTTCCTTATCCCCAGTATTTATGTTTTTATTTTAACTCTATTCTACTTGTTCTGTCTTTTTTATCCGTTGTATCCATATTTAATTGATTTTGGATGTAACTGGACCGTGAGAATACAACTTTCGTTCCACCACATGAACCATGTGATGTGAATGACAATAAAGTCTCCTTGAATCCTTGAATTGTGGAACACAAATAAAAGTGCGCTGATTATAACCGTACATATTTTTTACGAAGCTTCGAGGCAGATAATTTGCCTCGAGGATTTTTGTGTAATTGAATTACTGGAATTATTCGAGGACTCGTTTCAGTTTGGGTCTGGAACAGTGGGAGCTGTCAGAACCATGCAGGCTGCTCATAAAAAGTTCTGTAACATGGAGCTGGATCCAGACCCTGCAGCACTCAGCACCACTGAGCCACCACTCTGCTGCTGACGTCCCAGCACATCCCAACACATGATATATGTTGCAATCATGTTTTTGGAAGCCGATCTGGTGGGTTTGTGTGTTTTGGACGACGTCCACAGTCAACATGTCCGTGTTTCTCTCATGGAGCTCTTCAGAGCGGTGAGCTCAGATGTTTCCACAGCCTCAATTAAATCTGAGATCAGCTGTTGAGAAATCCTTCTGAGGGGGAAGTGTTTGTGGGGTTCATGTTCTTAAAGACGTGTGTGTGTGTGTGTGTGTGTGTGTGTGTGTGTGTGTGTGTGTGTGTGTGTGTGTGTGTGTGTGTGCGCCCACAGTTCAGAACTGTAACATCCGCTGCATGAACGGGGGGTCGTGTGCAGAAGACCACTGCTTGTGTCAGAAAGGCTACGTGGGAAACCACTGCGGTCAACGTAAGGACAGCTTCCTGATGTCCACTTCCTGTCTGTCCTCAGGTGTGTCCGCTCTGTCTTCACCTGCTTGTTTTTCATTCCTCACCAGCTGTCTGTGAGAACGGCTGTCTGAACGGAGGACGCTGCGTGGCCCCCAACAGATGTGTGTGTACGTACGGCTTCACGGGGGCCCAGTGCGAGCGAGGTAAGCCCCTCCCTCCAGCTGCTGCGCTGCGCTGCGCTGCGCGGTCACACTGCTGGTAGAAACGTGCTGAAATGTTTTTGTGTTGGGAAACGTCTGCATGTGGAGAAGTTTCCACATCTGCTCTGAGACGAAGGTTCTGTTTAGCAGCAGAGACCTCCTCTGGTTCCTGTGTGTGTGTTTAGGTTTGTGCTTGTGTTCAGTGTGTGTGTGTGTGTGTGTGTGTGTGTGTGTGTGTGTGTGTGTGTGTGGCACCAGTGGCTCGTTAGGCTCACAGTCCGGACCTTTAATGCTAATATTTGGACTCTTAATTAGCCTCATCCTTTGAAGCAGACCAGGCTTCAGGGTTCTGTCAGACGTCAGGTTTATTCTGGACTTCTCTGCTGACCTCCACTCCTCATCCCACGTATTTATTTAGCATGTTAGCTTTAGCACATGTTAGCTTTAGCATGTGTTAGTTTTAGCATGTGTTAGTTTTAGCATGTAGGCCCTGATAACTGAGTGGCCAGTAATGGAAAATGAGAAGGAGATTATTTATTTGTGTTAACTCAGTCTAATGCCAGCTTTTCCATGCTAGTTGGTAGCCTCTCCGATGCTAATGCCAGCTTTTCCATGCTAGTCATTAGCCTCTCCGATTCTAATGCCAGCTTATCCATGCTAGTCGCTAGCTTCTCTGATGCTAACGTCAGCTTATCCATGCTAGTCATTAGCCTCTCTGATGCTAACGCCTGCTTATCCATGTTAGTTGCTAGCCTCTCTGATGCTAACTCCAGCTTATCCATGCTAGGAGCTTGCCTCTCCGATGCTAACGCCAGCTTATGCATGCTAGTCACTAG